ACCAGGCTACAACTCAAGTCCAGGAAGAACGCTCAGTCTCTCTCCCAGCCCACCGTCCCTCAGCCAAGAGTCTCTCACAGTCTCTTTTCCAGCAGTGCTGGTCCCTCGGTGTCTCACTCAGTGATGCGTGTCTCTTGCGGCTCTTTCCCAGCAGCACGTGTCTCTTTCAGGGGTACGTGTCTCTTTCGGCAGCACGTCTTCCTCCACCAGCAGTCAGAGAGAGTTCTGCCTCCAAGAGGCCTCCTTTTGAGCCCGGAAGGGTGGTCAAACTAGCCAATCACAGCATCAGAACTCTAAGCACGTGAGAGAGAGTGGGAACCTCCCAGAACATTGTATTGTGCCACGCCCAACAGAAATAACCCAGGTGGGCGACTTTAAAATCAGGATCTCCTCAGTTGCTAATAGCAATTCCCACCTTGGAGTTTACAAAGACTTATGGGTAGAAAAGCCACACTAAGTAATTTACTACACCGCAGATTCATAATGTGCTTGGGTCATATTTTTAAATTTATTGGTATTGCCAGGTCTCCATTTTTTGCCTTCTTACACTTTTGTTCTTCAACTGCCATTTCTTTCTCAATCACCTTTCTCTGTTTTGTTTTGTTTTTTTTGGTGAACAGATTCATAGTAAAGGTCATGTAAATTAAATTTCATTCATAAAATAATACCGACAAACATACAAAAAGGATAACTTTCCAACATTTCTAATCTCTATTCCAGTGTACATTTCTGAAAACACAGTTAGTTCGTTTTTTTATAGTTAATGTCATTTGATATTCTGGCGGCTTATACTACCATAAAAATAATTATGTCTTTCTGGCCATCCATATTGTCACGATATCTTGCTTCACCTAAATGTTTTCATGAAAAGTAATATTTGAATTAAGTAACAGTCATTTGTAATATGTGGGATTTTTAAAGAAAGTCAACTGGAATTTATTTTGTCTTAGGAAGCAATCCCAAAGCAAAATAAATAGAAGTTAGAGTTGGTGTGTACAGCTTTGTTAATCATAAAAAATACCATGTTTAGTCAGATTTTAACTACTGTATTTTATGTTTATGTGGGATATTTTTATTTTGCACACATTTTATGTGGTCTCAGATGGTCTTATTTATTTAGTTACTTATATTCATTATGAATATTTATTTTTCATTATGGGTTTTTTTTTTTTAAAGTATAATTCTACCTTCTCTCCACTCTCCCAGCACATTCCTTAGATTTTTAGCTCAGTATATATAAGTACATTGTTCAGTTTATACAGGTCTACAGTACCCACTCTGCCTCACCAGGAGCAATAGTCTTAGATTCAAATTTATATCAAACCCAGGAGACAAGATAGATAATTACCCAGCACTAAGTTTACTTACTTTTAAGAAAGAATAAAGGATAGGCAACAACATGGCTTATATGGCAACAACATAGTGGACATCTCATGATTTCCAGGTACAACTTAACATATATCTTTAGTTTCTCACACTTGATACGTACATAGTCCTGAGGAACATGACTGGGTGAGGAAGGACTACCTCAGTTTACAGAAGCCATTACTTCTGGGGGCCTTAGAGCTTTTCTGCCTTGCTTCCCTTCTCTAAAGCAATAGCATCTCATCAATGCTGGGTAAATAGTCCTGACAGTGAGCCAGAGGTCACTGGTCCAGTACGTAGTAAATTCTGAGTTAAAAGTTTCAGGTATGATTTGGCCACAAATCAAGTCGTCAGATGTTCCTAAGGCTTTAACAAAGGTCACAGACTAGCTGTTAATCCTTTCAAGTAAGGTCCTGTAACCAGATAGCCAACACGCAGTCTAGACACATACTTTCTTTGGCTTCCTAGTTGTTTTTCTTTTAATTTTAGAATATAGTATAATGACCACCATGTTCATTACCCAGCTTCAGCAGTTAACTCATGAGCAATCTCATTTTACCCAACATCCCCCAGCCACTATATTTTGAAGCCAATCCCAGGCATAGCATCTTATTCATAAAATTTCATTATTTAAACTACTTCAGTCATGGACAACTCCATGAAACTGGAGCAGATACAAATCTGTAAAATGTGGGTATACTAGAATGATAACTGAAATGAGGAAAATTGTAGGTCAGGGCCCTAGAATAGGAGACTTAGAAGAGGCGTAGGTGGACCCTTTCAGAAGCCTGTCAGGAGAAATTCAATTATTGACATGGCTTTGGAGAGCCACATAGACCACATTCAAAGAAGTTCATTCAGCTGCCACCTTTAAGCTGGGCACTGCTGTCTTTGACTCTGCTGATTAAGAGGTTTGGTTGCTATGCCATATGCATGCTGCCATTGTTTTCTAAGAGGGAGATTAAATTTCTGGGCCAGGGGTTGACTCATAATTTTTACCACTCTGGTTATCATTATGCTATACCCACATTTTACAAATTTGGACCCATTCCTGTTTCTTTTCTTGTTGTTGTTGTTGTTGTTATGTGCCGTCAAGTCAGACCCGACTCATAGCGACCCCTCCTTAGGTTTCCAAGGCAGTTATCACTATGGAAGTAGATTGCCCAACCTTCCTTCCGAGGAGTGGCTGGTGGGTTTGACCTGCCAGCCTTCTGGTTAGCAGTCAAGTGCCTTAAGCACTATGCTACCAGAGCTCCATTTCATAGGCCCTGACTAAACCAGGAAGAAGCCCTTGTTTGGTGTGTTTTTTTTTTTTTTTTTTTTTAAATAAATACTCTCATCATCTCTTTTTATGTTGCCTTGAGATTTATTTGTTGAAGAAGCATGGTCATTTGTCCTATGATGTTTCTCATAATTGCCTAGACTTGATTTTACTGATTGTATTCTTGTTGTGTTATATAATATGTTCCCTCTGTGCTTCCTTTTCTTAAATATTGATGATTGGTTTTGTTTTTGTTATGTGCTGTCGAGTCAGACCCGACTCATAGCGACCCCTTCTTAGGTTGCTGAGGCAGTATCGCTACGGAAGTAGATTGTTCAACCTTCCTTCTGAGGAGTGGCTGATGGGTTTGAACTGCCAGCCTTCTGGTTAGCAGTCAGGTGCCTTAGGCACTATACTACCAGAGCTCCCAATATTGATGTTGTTGGCAGTGGTAGCTGGGTACCATCTAGTTCTTCTGATCTCATAGTCAAATAGGCTGAGGGTCACATGGAGTACCAGTCGCTAGGACTAATTGTTTCCATGAATCTTTGGTTTTCTTCATTCTTCTTTGCTCTGGATGAGGAGAGACCCATCGTTGCATCTAGATGGCTGCTTGTAAGCTTTTAAGATCTCGATAGCTACTTGCAAAAGTAGGAGGTAGAACAGTGTTTTATGTAGTATGTTACGCCAATTGAGCTTGATATCCCCTGCACCTATGGTCCTGAGCCCACAGGTTCAACTGCTTGCTTCCTCTGGGTAGTTGGCTATGACCAAGAAGTGGCTACAACCTTATCCCTTGTCACCTTTACTATACCCCTGGGAAGTCTTACAGAACATACAAATAAACTTGTAGAACCATTGTCTGCCAACCCTATACATGGTCTTGGGTATACTCCCCACTGCATAGACATACCTAATAGTTCATTCAGCCTGTCCACCCATATATCCACCCATATACCTATGTTTGCCTTCACTGACAACACAGTACTGTATGTGCAAAAGGGTTCATCGTTGTTGTCTGCACCTCCCATGTACCTCTCTATGTCTTCCTTTTCCTCAGTGCCACCATGTTAATCACTCATATTTGGTACATTTCCCTTCTCTTCACTCAAATCAATATTTCTCTCTATCTATCTAACAGCGTTCCCTCCCCCCTCTCCCCCCCCAGTAACCAACAAAGAAAATTTCCTTCCATATATAAACTGTTCCTTGACTTTTACAATAATGGACTAATACAATATTTGTCCATCTGTGATTGACTTACTTCACTCAGCATAATGTCTTCCAAGTTCCCACATTATGCAGTGTTTTGCAGATTCTACATTATTCTTTAGCGTTGCATAGTATTCCATTGTGTGTATGTACCATAGTTTGGTTATCCATTCCTTAGTTGATGGACCCCTAGGTTGTTTCCAACTTTTTGCTATATTGTAAATAGTGCTGTGATGAACATGGGTGTGCATTTGGCTGTTATAGTCATAGCTCTCACTTCTTTAGGGTATATACCTAGTAATACTGAATGGCTGGGTCAAATGGTATTTCTAATTCCAGCTTTTTAAGGAATTGCCATACTGCTTTCCACAGTGGTTGTACCATTTTACAGTCCCACCAACAGTGTATGAGAGTCCAATCTCTCCGCATCCTCGCCAGCATTTGTTATTTTCTGTCTTGTTGAACTTTGCTGGTAGAAGGACTTAAGTTTTTGAGACGCTTTTAAAATTACTACTTTCTTAACTCAAAATTTCACTGTGAAAGTGAGTTTTTATTGAGACAACCCACCCCCACAAAAGCATAGTTATTTACTATTGGTAAGTGACTTTCCTCTGTTATAAGCCGTCTATTCAACTACAGCTGTTACTTAATCATTAGAGGATTGCTTAAACATTGAAACATATGCCTCTGCTGATGGAATCATGTTTATTATCTTTTCATGTCCATGCAGAGTACTTTCTTGTTATTTTCTTGCTCCAATTATACCTGTAATGATGATAATAAAAGAAATAGTCTAATACTGTAGAATTAGAATGTGAGGCTCCTACATGTTACTGCTGTCCCTTTTTCAAGCTATGCTATTTTAGTATTTTCTATAAATGGAACTGCATTTTAAACTCTTCTATTACTTTTCTAATTTTCTTTCGTTTAAAGATCTAACTCTGACTCATGAATTCCGCAACCTGGGTTCTAATCCTGAATCTTGACCCTTTTCCTGAGTAATACAAATGAAATCCCTTTTTTCATGTACCCATCAGTTCTGATAGTTGGATGAGCTAAACGTTAAATACTGGGCTTAGTGAGAATCTGCACAAAATTTAAATTTCCACTTATAAAGCTTATCTAAAAAATGTTGATCAAAACATTTTTGTTTTTGATTAAGCTAAGAAAGAAGAAAAGAAAAGGCATAAATCATCATCATCATCTTCATCTTCATCATCCAGTGACTCAGATAGCTCAAGTGATTCTCAGTCATCTTCTGATTCTTCTGATTCTGAAAGTGCTTCTGAAGAGAAATCAAAAAAAAGAAAAAAGAAACATAGGAAAAATTCCCGAAAACACAAAAAAGAAAAGAAGAAGCGAAAGAAAAGCAAGAAAAGGTCTTGATTTTACTTTTACATTACTAGCTTTATGTTCTAATTCCCTTCTATTTATAAAAATAACTGTTGGGATTTTGCATCAGTTATATGGGGACATTAAAATGGCAAGAAATATTTCATAACATAAGTATTATGAGACCATTTTGATATTCTGTAGTCCATAGATTAAATATGTGTTAATTTCCATTAAGCCCCTCAGATCATTTGTGTGTACTCAGTGAAAGGATATTGCAGGTTTTATAGGTCTGTGTATTTTGAATACAGGAGTAGTGAGAATTACTGAAAACCAGTAATTGTTCTTATTTCTTCTAATAGTTTTTCTTCATTTGTATTCTTTATCTCCTTTGCTCTTGTGATAGTGTTAGGAAACAAAGCAGGTAACGTCAGAGTATTTACGTCCCAATTTTTCTAAAATTTTCTGTGTTTATAATAAAATTCACCAGTCTTTTTCTATCTGTTTCTTCAAAAGTAACTAATTTCTTTACCTGCATTTTAAATATTTTAAGTTCATCAGATTATGTTAGTCATGGAGTTTCATGTTTTGGGTTTATTTTAAAGCAATATGTTTTTTCAGAGCTTAACAAAAGCATTTTGTTTGGCATTTGGTTAGTTAATTGGTCTGTCAGGAATAGAGTAAGATTTTGCCCATGTGATAGTATCTTTGATAGAAAAGTGTTCATATTGTGACATCTTACTATAATGGAAAGAAATACTGACATTTGGGAATTAGGAGTACATAATAACTAAATGTGTCTTACTTTGTGTGTTTTTGTTAAGTGCGTCTAGTGAAAGTGAGGCTGAAAATCTTGAAGCACAACCCCAGTCTACGGTGCGTCCTGAAGAGATCCCTCCTGTACCTGAAAATAGGTTCCTAATGAGGAAAAGTCCTCCTAAAGCTGATGAAAAAGAGAGGAAAACCAGGGAGAGAGAAAGAGAATGGTATGTGAGTGTGTATGTTTCATAGAGTCCCCTACATCTTAACCACAGAATTTTTCTTTTTTTTTTTAAAGACGTATTCTGTGTAAGAGTTAATTGGTGTTCTTGTTCTAAAATTGAAATATTTTTTAATAGGCTGTTGCTAGTAATGGTCCTTCTTGCTAAACACATAGTTAGAAAGCTAAGTTAACTTAAATTAAAAGCAGATTTTGAGGTTTTTGGAAAAAAATAAAGCACCGCACATGCAAAAAAGGATGTTGATGCCATTCCAGCTCTCTTCCATTTAAAGTGAGATAGTGTTATCCTGTGTTATTTGTATGATTAAACTTTTAGCAAGTAAGAACTTTAATTTTTCAGTTTGAGTAGTAGCGGAAAATACCATTTTCCTCACCCAGTATACAATATTGGTGTAATAAAAATTAGTGTCATGTTTAAGTACTTTTATTTTTGTATATAAAGCTATAGTGTTAACATCAGTAGTTCTGTTGGTTTTCAATAAATCATTTTAGTTATTATGTCTAAAGCAGGAAAAGATGATTTAAACTTTTCTGATTTATGATCAGATTGTGTGGTTATAATATCCAAACCTGTTGCCACTTAGTTGATTCTAACTCACAGCAACCCTACAGTACAGAGTAGAACTACCCATAGCGTTTCTGAGGCTGTAAATTTTTACAGAAGAAGACGGCCACATCTTTCTGCCATGGAACAGGTGGTGGATTCAAACCACTGACATTTCGGTTCACTGTCAAGCACTTTAACCACTACACTACTGGTTGTGCTGGTTATACCATACAGGTGATAAAATTCTAAAAGATCCTTCTATGCTTTCACAATACAGTTAAATTACAAAAGACAGTTAGTTAAAATTTGAGGGATTAGATTATATTGAATTTCTTCCCACCTTAGTTATTAAGAAAGAGATGTTCCTCAGTGCTACTTTAGAATTAATTTTTCAGATACTTAAGAAGTTTCACTTAGATGGTTTCAGTCAATGTGCTAATTAAATATTAACTTACAACAATTATTTCAAAAAGAAATTTCCCTTTTTGACTTAAACTGGGATATATACTTTTTCAGACTCATTTGTCTCTGCTTAATTCACATAGCTCATATTTCTCTATAGTTCTGTCACTAATGATAGACTGCTTATAGGAAAATCAGGTTCTTTGGAATAAAATAATATTAAAATTATTCTCTAAACAGTATTTGAGAGCTCCCATTCTCTTATATGTTGATTTTTTTTTAACACTGTCAAATTAACTTCATCTTAATGATTCATTTTAGTAATAATTCTCAACAGGGAACTATTGACATTTTGGACAAGATAGTCCTTCATTCTCATACAATATAAGACTTTTCACATTCCTGACTTTTGGGCACTAAGTGCCAATCTTCCATACACAGCCACATGTGAGCACATTGCTAAACTCATGTGCCCCATACTTTTCCAGACACCTCCTTGAAATTGACACTGCTCTTGGATGAGAACCACTGAATATATGTAGGGTTTAAATTTATTAATTCAGACCAGTAAAGCTATATTTTCTGGATTCTTTTTTTTTTTTTTTTTTTTTATAAAATAATATGTTTTTAACTCACCCTTTGCTTCCTTCTAGTAATCCACCTAACTCCCAGCCTGCTTCATATCAAAGGCGACTTTTAGTTACTAGGTCTGGCAGGAAAATTAAAGGAAGAGGACCAAGGGTAGGTTCTTTATTTCCCCCAGAAATCTTTATGGTATTGCATTTTTCTTTCTTACTTAAATGATTTTAGAGTATGTCTTTAAATATTATTTTATTGTACAGATAACTAAAATTTAGGGAAGATGTGAGTATTGAACACTGTGTTCCCTTTTTCATTAAAATATTCAATAATGTATACCTTTTTAATAGTATTTCATTCTCTTGACTGAATTCTCTTCATCAGAATTTAATTATTTTTATTATTATTATTATTGTAATTTGGGTCAAGTTTACAGCGCAAATTCTTTTCCATTCAACAGTTTATACATACCTTGTTTCATCAGTTGTAATATAATGTAACAGCTCTCTTCACACTTCCTCCCTGTGATTACTTTTCCCTGTGTCCTTCTTTCCTATACATTCCTGCCCTCTGAGCTCTTTCCCCATCCAAATGCTGCCCTTCTGATTTCCCGTGGTTCATTATTCTTAACTAAGGAGTGTACCTACCTAGCATAAATGTTCGCCTTGTACAGCTATCTGTTGTTTGGCTGGAAGCCATGAGAGTGAGTCCAATTCCAGGCCTAAAAGTGGATTAGGGGCCATTTTCTCGGGGTTTTCACGTGACTCTTAGGGGACCAGTGTGGCTGGTCTTTTTTATGATTTTAAGTTTTGTTCCACATTTTTTTCCTACTCTATCCAGGGTCTTCTATACTGATCCCCTTTCCTAGTGGTTGACAGTGATAGCTAGGCACCATCTACTTCTGGTCTCAGAATCATGTAGGCTGAGGTTCACATGTTCTACTTACTAATCCCTTGGACTCATTGTTTCTATGCGTCTTTGATTTTCTTCATTCTTCTTTGCTCTGGATAAGGAGACCAGTTGTTGCATCTTAGGTGGTTGCTCACAAGCTTTTAAGATGCCAGGCGTTACTCACCAAAGAATGATGTAGAACAGTATTTTTGTGTAGTATGTTATGCCAACTGAGCTTGATATCCACTGTAACCATGATTCACAAGGCCATGGCCCAGCAACTCCCTCCTTAAAGATACTTAGCTGTGGCTAAGAAGTTATCATAACTTTGCCCACTGTTAGCTCTGTAATATCTATAGACATTCTTATAGTACATACGAACAGGTATGTAGAAATTTCATCTGCCAGACCTCAATATGGACATATATTCTCTTGCCTAGCCAAACCTGATTGTTTAGCTTGTCTACCTATATATTCACCCATACCTCATGTTTGTTATTACTGATACTGTAGTATTGTGTATGTAAAAGTGTTTACCTTTGTTGCCTATACCTCTTGTGCACATCTCCGTGTCTTCTTTTTCCTTGATGTTATTGTGTTTGTCACTCGCTTTTGGTATATTGCCTTTCCCTTCACTCAAATCACTACTTGCGTCTTGCCTATCTAGCAGTTTTCCCTTCTATCCCTGGTGTGTTAGACTGCGTTCTCTAGAGAAACAAAACCAGTAAAGCTTATATATAGAGAGAGAAATTTATCTTAGGAAAACGGCTCACACACTTATAGAAGCTGGCAAGTCCAAAGTTCTTGGATCAAACGTCAAGCTGGAGGCTTTTCTTGACTCTTGCAGCTGCAGGGGCTGAGGAGCTCAAGGTTGACAGGCAGTATACTGCCTGTTGACTCCAACGAATGACGAATCCAAGATCTCCAGGCCGAATGGTGGATTGTTCACTCACGGACAGTTGTAGGCAGCACAACAGAATCCCAATCCACAGAAGAATGTCTCTTTTCCCAGGGATGTCCATAAATACACTGGAAGCTAGCCACAGCCCTAGGGAAACTCCCATTTCAACGGACTGGCAGCTCAAAACATAATCATCTGATCCCATCATGGTAATAACCACATCACAACTGCTTAAACCACATGGAATTGTGGTCCGGCCAAGTTGACACACAACTATCACACCTGATAATAAACAAAGTTTCCTTCCATATGTAAACCTTTCCTTGACTTTTTACAGTAGTGGACTGGTAACAATATTTGTTCTTCTGTGATTGATTTACTTCACTCAGCATAATATCCTTCAAGTTCATCCATGTTGTAAGGTATTTTGTGGATTCTTCATTATTCTTCAGTGTTGCATAGTATTCCATTGTGTATATGTATCATAGTTTGGTTATCCATTCATCCGCTGATGGGCACTTAGGTTGTCCCCATCTCTTTGCTATCGTGAGTAGTGCTACAGTGAACATGGATGTGCATATATCTATTCGTATCCCGGTTCTCACTTCTTTAGGATACATAATGTAGTAGTGGGATTGCTGGATC